CACGCGGCTGGGGCCAGTCACCGATCCTCCCCGGGTCTCAGCTTCACCCTAGGCGCCGACCACCCGGGGCGGAGCCGAAGGCGGGGAGCGGCGCACCACGGCCGCGGGTGGGCCCTGGCCCCGGGAGGGTGGCCCACGCCGGCGGCTCTCTCCGCAGCCCGTGGAGCACCGCGCCGCGGCCGCCCGCCCTCTCCAGGCCGGACACAGGAGACCCACACTGACCATTTCGCCGCGGTGCGCAGGCACTTCCGGTCCGGTCTTCAGCCCGGGTGCCGCCGCCCGGCGGTTCCTACGTCTAGCGCCCCCTGGCGCGCTTACAGAGCCCGACTCCGCGTCGGCTCAGGCCCCAGCGGGCCCAGAAAGCCACGGTTTCCGGCCAGAGGAGCCGCCACGCCACGCCCCCAGCTCTGCGGATCCATTGAGAAGAAAACTACATCTCCCAGAATCCCAGGGGATGCCCGCTGCGCCTGCGCGACCGAACTCACGCCCATCAGGACTCATTCGCCGAGGCAGGCGGAAGGGAGGTTCCGGAACTGCGACAGGCCTGTCATCCCGGCGACGGAAGTGGAGTGCGCGGGGCGACCGAAGCGACTGCGGTACTGCACCCGCTGGGGCTGGAGGCGCAGGCCCCGCAGGCCCCGCAGGCCCCGCTTCCCCCTCCCCCTCCCCCTCCTCCTGAACCGAGCGTGAAGGGGTCAGACCGCGGCGCCGGCGACGGATCCCGCAGCTCGGGCACCAGGGGCGCCCCGCCCCAGCCCCTTGGCGTGGCTGCCTCCTCTCCCCGCCAGTGCGGAGGCCCGCGCCTTGCAGAGGTGGAGTTCCTTTCCTTTTTAAAAGCGAACTCCCAACTGTGCCTGTGGAAAGAGAAATCAGAAACTTCAGTTTTTGTCCAAAACCCAAAAGAGCCTCGGGCGAGGACTGGGTTTGGCTGAGCCGGTTGCTTCTCAGGGTGGGGGCTCCCAGGGCCCCGCGACCCCTTGTCGCTCTGGCCTGGGCTGGGCTGGAAGGACCGGCAGGGGTGCCGGGGAGAAGGGTGCGGAGGTGCCCGTTGGTGGCTCCACCAGCGAGTCCAAACAACCATCTCAGGCCCCAACCTCATTAAGCAACGAGTGCTGCATCCACCCGAGGGAGGGCGGCCGAAACCACAGGCTCCAGGCCCGGCTCTCCACCGAGGCCACAGGATGGCGCCGTGCCCTCCCATCCAGAGGGGCTGCCTGAGCAGGAAGCTCTGTGAACGTGTAGCCAGCCCACCTCGATGCTGCATCCGGGCTTCTATGACTTGGTCATAAAGAGCACCCCCTGGAACCTAGGCGCTGACCATGACATCTCCTTGGCCCCATGGCACCAGTGCCCGCCCACCTGATAGGGGCGCTGGTCTGGGGAGAGCCCAAACCGGGCGCACGACAGCCCAACAGCCCTGGAGCCTCCGCCCACCGACTGGGAAACAGCAAGGTCCATCCTGCTCCCCTGGGCCACTTCCTGTCCACCTGCCTGCCACCCACTGGGGGACACGGCCAGGGGTGATGCTCCAAATGGTCACAGACCATGCGCCTCGGCTGCAGGCTGTTTCTGGACTCCTCCCACCTTCCCTTGCCCACAGGGAGCAGCCTTTGTAGAACAGGCAGAGCGCTGAGGCCCCCAGCCTCTGACAGAGCAGCCACAGGAGCTTGATATAAAACAGCTTTAATGAGATCAGAGGCGGCAGCAGACACCACGAGAACGGGCGCTGCGGGCTGGGCGCAGTAACAAGCAGGACAAACTACAAATCCTTTAACGTCCAAATATCCTGAGTAGAGAGAATTGTGTTTATTCAACCACATAAAATGCATATATAGGAAACCTCTATTTAGGAGCTGGTGGCCTGCACTCAGCATCGCAGATAAAAATATACGACTTTCAACACATCTAAATACCTTCACATTTTAAAAATCAGAATTCTCTACACAAGTTTTAGGCTGACAGAATTCAAGTTCTGAGTTCTCATATATAGCTTTAACTTGTATTAAACACATGTTTATTTACAACGTGGATAGAGAATAGGGGCTATTAAGGCCATTTTCTCATTGTGAAATACTGCAAAATATGTACATAAGTACAACCTAATATAGGCAAAGGTCCTAAAAGTCATTTTGTTGGTTTAACGTAATTGAGTGTCGGTATGGGAGTGAAGACAGCCTGTCGTTAGCACCGATCCACACCACCGGCATGTGCGCCATCTCCCCGGCAGCTTGTGCTGCAGGGCTGCGGCGAGACGGGCCCTGCACCAGGACCGGCGTGCACCTGGCCCAGGCCAACCTGAAGGGCACAGTGCCATCCTCTCGATTCCATCTCCAAATTCATCACCAGGTCCAGAGTCACCAACCATTTACAGAGAGAGTTGAGCCACAGTCAGCCACGCCGAGGGTGGAAGGGCAGCTCTCGGACCCCAGGCCTCACCTCCGATGCCGGCTGTGTCCGGGGTGGTCCCGCTCGTAGCGGTGGCCTGTTCGCTCATAAGACCTCGAACGCTCCCGTCGCTGATCTCTATAGTAATGACTTTTCTTCTTGTACTTTCCAGAATTATCTGCCCGCTCCCGTGAGCGGCTTCGCGAGCGGGAAGAGCTCCGGCTCCGGGACTTGTGTGGCTTCTGGGTGGGGTACTTGCAGTCCTTGGACTTGCGATAGCTCCTCACCTTGGAGCCTTTGTAGGGAGCGCCTCGGTGCGCTTGTCTCGGGGGTGAGTCACTCCGGCTCCGCGAACGGCTTTGGGACTTGGACCCCCCAGTAGTCGAGCCGCTGTCGCTTTTCCTGTGAAGAACAGCAGCACCAAGCGATGACCAAGTACCCCAAACACCTCACCTCCGCACCCTGGGAAAAACGCCCACCCGCCAGATGCAGGCCCCTCAGGCACACACCTCCTCTTAGGAGAAGCGGATCGCGATGGGGACCTCGAGTAGCTCTGCTCCCGGCTCCCGCTCCGACTCTGACTGCCTCGCCCCTTCGGCAACCTGAGAACGGGGAGCAGCAGTTAGAGACCTGCGCTCCGCCAACCCCCACAGCCACGGGGCACTCAGGCACTCACCCGTTCACCGGGCTGTCCGCCTTGGCTTTCTTCACGCCCTCTGGTTTCCTCTTGGTGGTCTTCACCGAGAGCGGGGAAGCCTTGTTCCCTTTACCTTCTTTGGGAGATTCCGCTAGAACCAAGTACAAGAAGTTAAGACCTGACATCCAGAAAACCACGGTTACAAAACAGGTGAGCAGAGCAATGTAACGCCACCTCTACGGAACTCATGGAGACACATGCTAACGGTAACTTCCTGCTCCCAGCCTGGGACTCGGGACCTGAACATGCACCAGAGAGATGCAGAAGGGCGGCCTGCCTGGCTCAGCTTCCCACAGGGACTGGGAAAGGTGTCATGCTAACTCTAGGGCCTGACACAGTGTAGGGCCCCCGATCTCTACAACTGGGTCGGCTGGGTGAACAAAAGCGTTTGGAAAGCCCGTCCACAGCCCTTGCAATGACGAGAAACCGAGGAGAGCCAATCCCTTGAGGAGTCCTGTCTCATCTCCAAGGTCACCAGGTGCCTGTGGCAGACCCGGTGCCTGCGGGGCTCAGACCCGTCTGCAGGAAGGAGGGTCGCCCTGGAGGAAGCAGACTCACCGGGCTTCGGGGCAGGCGAGAACCCTGAGGTGCTGTCCAGGGCAGGGGTGCTGCCGGGCAGCAGGCCTCTGGCTTGGGCCTTTGCCTCGTCCATGGCGTGCTTCCTCTTTTCCACCTCACTTTCCAGGTGTGTCAGGTCAACCTGGAAGAGCCAAGATCCATCCGTTCAGAAACAGGTGCTTCTAGTCACACACAAACATGTGTTACAAGAAAAAAACACACAGAACCACCTTCTTCCGAGTGTAAAGCTGCAGGATCTTTAAGCAGATTTCTTGAATTTCTTCTTCAGTTGCTCCAAACAAAAGAAACCAATGGGGACGATTGGGCAGAGGAATCTGAAAACAAATGCTACCGGTTATGCTTGTCCTCACACCAACAAGGTGCTCAGTGCAGTCAAAGCCACCCTGCTGGTCACGAGGCGGCTTCTCATCGCACCCACGAGCACAACCTGAACCCGATACCTCAGTGTTCTGGAGGCTGGAGACAGGGCCTGGGGGCAGCACTGACCTCCAGTGTCCGGGCTGCAAGGTAAATGCAGGCACAGGCGATGCTCTCGGGCTGGAACCTCACAAACACGTCTGTGCGAAGGCTGTCATTCATGTAATTCCTGAAACCAAGTGTAGGAAGAATTGCAACACCCCGGCAACCCAGGACACCCATCGGCCTTATCTAGGGAGGCCACTGCTCCTCTAAGGAGCCTACTGCTAGGACTGGAGATACAGTCCTGTGACTCTTGAGTTCAGGGAAAAACGTTCTAACTGCTTTTTCTGAACACAGGACAGTTAGATGGGGAAATTGTTGGCAAAAAAATGTTTAAGCTGGCTGAATGTCAATCGGTGTTGCTATGAAAGAGAACCAACTTTAACTTTACTTTTCCCTCTCAACTTTGGCCTGCTCTCATGCAAAGCACAATGCCTCAGGAAGAAAACAGGGGTGAGAAAGTACTTGGTTAAAGAAATCTAAGCGCTCAGAATCCGTAGTGCAGAGAAACATGCAAACTCAATGGACTGCCGAGCAGGAGCCACCAGGCTTTTCTGAGACAAGCCGTCCTCTTGCGTTCCTCTTCCTTCAAGAGGTGTCCACAGCCTGGCCCTCCTTCTTCCGAAAGGGAGTCCGCTCGGAGAGGGAGCCTCGCCCTGGGAGCAGGGGAACAGCGTGCGAGGAGGGCTCAGTGCCCGAGGGCAGTCCTCTTCTCAGGCTTATCCAAGAACCATTTCCAAACTGTCCCATTTCAACAAGGAGTCTTAAAATGAATATTCATAAAATCAGACAAGAGCATCAAAATACTACAATTTCACCATAATCAGTACATTTAAAAACTTTATCATAGAAAACAGAGAAATACAAAAATAACTTGCATTTTTAAAAGGTAACATTTTAAAATTGGCTACATTTAACATTTTCTTTTGTATGTATTTTCTAAGATTTAACAGAGCAAAATCTGACCTCATATGAAACTTTATAATATTGCACACACAAGGATTAATTCCATGAGAAAACAGTTGAACAGTCACACAGTCACGGCTCCCAACATACCCCAAGATGACAAGCCTGAGTCGAGCTGCACCCAAGGCGAGCCAAATCCCGCTGTGATTTGACTGATGTTCCCCCAGCCCCACCCCCACCCGGTATCGCTGCTCCCAAGCCCTGGAGAAGGTGACAGACAAATCCACTCCCAGGTCTGCACGTGCCGACTGGCGGCACCAGGAGGTGACCGAGAACAAGTGTGAGGGCACCAAGACCCGGAACCAGAGCATTGCAAATGAACAGTTCAAACATTTTATACACATAACCATCGAGAAGTTTTCTGGTCTTAATAAAACATTTTCAATACTCAAACAGTGATGATAATATTAATCTATTAACTTTTTTAAGTCCTAAAAACAAAACAAATTCCTCAAACATATACTTAAGCTGATTGCTACATTTGAAATGTTACAATATAAAGTGCCCGTGGGGTCACCTAAAGATGCATTACCTTTACGCAGCTGCTGAAAAGGGCAGCCCTAGAACCTGCAGAAATGATGCCATAACCCCATACCCAAGTCCCAGGTCCCATCAGCCAATTCTTACAGCTTTCCATAGATTCTTCTCAAAGACAGGTATTGCATCTTTAGTGCACAGGTAGGTACAGCAGTTTTAAAGGGACAAAATTCAAGTCAAGACAGTTATCAAGTCTAATCAATACAATTACCAAAGCACGACAGAGGGTTAACAAGAAGCGCAACCATCAGAACCACAGCAGCGTCGGCCAGCACTAGACTATCGTGAGCATACCGCCATCTAGGCCAGCCTTCGGCGAGCCTGCCCGGGGTGGCTGAGGACGGCCGCTGTCCCTGCACCGAAGCGCTTGGACAGCAGAGGAGAGGTCTTAGTCACTTACCCTCAGAGGCTCCCCTTTGATTGAAAGAGTACAGAAAAGAAAAGTCAAAACAGGTTCTCTTGGACACAGCACAGCACCAGACAATTCAGGCAGCAAAATATGACCCCTATAGACTTAACTCCCTGGGAAAAACTCACAAAACTCCCGGCACTACCCTGTGACTTCAGGCTTCATTTCTAACATATGCATTGAAACCAGTCCCCAGAATTGAACACAAACTTCACACCCCTTCGCCCATAGGATCCTTTAGTTGGGACAGCCGGGAGCAATTTCACAGGAGATTCAGGACTAAGGCTATGCCCGAGCCCGTGGGGAAGGTCCCGGGTGCCGTCTACAGCCCCACGGAAGCCTACCGACTGCTCTCAGGGGCCCCCTTACCGTCACACCAGTGCCTGACACTGGGGAGGCTGTTGGATTTACATGGCAGGAACACTGGGCACTCGGACAACTCCAGCCCCAGCCACGCCACGGGACCGACTACCCACTGCCCAAGCGCCTTAAATCCACATACTCCTGCCTGCCCCGCTGGTCACATAAAACAAGGAAAATCAACTCACCATGAGGTCTGGACCAGGTGTTGGTTACGCTCACACTCTAACACCTGAAGGTACATAACGATTATCTGGAAGATACGGGTCAGGCAGTTATTACCAAGAACCTTGGAATCCAGATCTCAGATCTTGAGGGCGCCCAGCAGCAATAAGTCTCATGCTAGATCCCAGGGGGGCTCCTGGTCACGCCCGTGGACAGCTCAGCTGGAGGGCTTTTTGCTGACATCTCCCCGCCTTTGCACCAGGCAGCAAGAAAGCACAAGGCCCAACCTGCACCCACAGGGAAGGCCTTGTTTTTCACACGTTTTCACCGTGACATCAGCCTGCCCTCAAGAGCTCTGTACCCCATCACCAACTTACACAAAACACGGTGTGAAAATACTTCCAACAAATGAAGAAAAGCTCTGAAATCTATGGTAATTGACTGAGATTTTGAATTAATGCTGGAAAGTCAAATAAAAAAGAGAGTATGAGGAAGCCCACCAATAAAAAGGGGATGAAAAAGATGCAAATAGCAGTATTTTTTAAAACAAGCTTTGGGTCCTAGCTGGTTTGGCTCAGTGGATAGAGCATCGGCCTGCAGAATGAAGGTCCCGGGTTCAATTCATGTCAGGGGCACATGCCCGGGTTGCAGGCTCGATCCCCAGTAGGGGGCGTGCAGGAGGCAGCTGATCAATGATTCTCATCATTGATGTTTCTATCTCTCTCCCCTCTCCCTTAATCTCTGAAAGCAATAAAACTATATTTTTAAAAAAGGTTAACTTTAAAAAATAATAATAATAAAATAAAACAAGCTTTGGGCCCTGGCTGGGTAGCTCAGTTGGTTAGAGCATTGTCCCAATACCCAAAGGCAGGGGTTTCAGGGCACACACAAGCAGCAACCAATAATGCGTAAGTAAGTGGAGCAACAGATCCATTCTCTCACTCCCCCTTCTCCTCTAAAATCAATGTCAAAATAAACAACAACAAAACAGCTTTGTGTTTGAGTGGAACAAAGAAGGAGCCAGAATATCCTACAGTAGCCTCGCTCCTCAGCTAACACTCCCCGAAAAACGGCTGTTATAAGAGGAGATGAGCCCTAACTGGTTTGGCTCAGTGGATAGAGCGTCGGCCTGCGGACTGAAGGGTCCCGGGTTCGATTCTGGTCAAGTGCATGTACCTTGGTTGCAGGCACATCCCCAGTGGGGGGTGTGCAGGAGGCAGCTGATCGATGTTTCTCTCTGATCGATGTGTCTAACTCTCTATCCCTCTCCCTTCCTCTCTGTAAAAGATCAATATATTAAAAAAAAAAAGAGGAGATGAAGCCATTACTAAAGCAACGTTAGAAAATTAGCTGTTGAGACCTGGCCAGGTGGCTCAGTGGTGGGAGGTTGTCCTCGGTAGCAAAAGGCGGCAGGTTCCTGATCACCAGCTGAGGCACATACGGGAGGCAAGCAGTCAATATTTCTCTCTCTCTCTCACTAAAATCATTTTTTTTAAGCAAAAACGTATCAAGTGAGGACTAAAAAAAATTGTTGAAAAAGAAAAAGGTAGACGGACAGGTGCCATTTTTACAACTTCATCACTATTTCTGAAAGACCAAACATAAAAGGCCACTCCCAAAGCTCTTAGAAACACCTACTAAGATGAGCAGGTAACACGAGAGGCCAACGGTAAGGCTCTCTCAGATGATGGACAGAACGGAAAGCCCAGCAGGGACACATTCACTCGTCCTCGGAGTTTCAGTCTCGGAGGGAAAGGAGCAGTGACCCCGGCGGCCCCGGGGCCCAGACCCACCTTATGCGGGTGCTTCACGTGGACGCAGAAACCCAGCTCCTTGAGAACTCGTCTCTCCGCCTTTATGATCTGGTTCTTCAAGTTAACGTACTCTTGATCCAGCAGGAGCGGCGCAGGTTTCCTACGAAGACACAGCACAGCAGAGAGTGCGTCAAACAAAACGACCGCTTTCAAATCCTTTGGCTACCCCCCCACAGTGAGAATCTACTGTGAACACCCAGAACAGACACGGCAAGTTCACGTCCTTCAACCACAGGTCTTCCTACAGCTCCAGCGCTAACCTCCTCAGCAGCCTCCCGTCCCCACAGCGCGGCCAGGGGCTCAGACCTCCCCGCACCGGGACCCATGCTCTCTGGCTGCAGGGACAGGGGCCTGTGTTGAGGATGAATGAGCCACAGGAAGCACAACCTTTATTACTTTTGCTTCTTAAATACATTTTATCGATTTCAGAGAGAGGAAGGGAGAGACAGAGAGCGACAGAAACATCAGTGGTGACGACTGGCTGCCTCCTGCACGCTCCCTACTGGGGTGGAGCCCACAACCCAGGCAAGTGCCCAGATGGGGATGGAGCTGTGACCTCCTGATCCACAGGCCCAGGCTCAACCTTTAGAAGCTGGGCTGGTTCCCTAAGGACTTCCATCAGCTTCAGGAAACCAGGAAATGCCCTCCGCACCGTGGTCCCTAAACACATTCCGCAGCCTGTTGGGGACCCCAGGGCACAGGCCCCCTTCTGGCCACGCGTCTAAAACCCTTCTGGCCACGCGTCTAAAAACCTCACACCCTGGCCCTAGCCAGCTTGGCGGAGTGGATAGAGCATCGGCCTGCCGTCAAGGGCACGGACCTCAGCTGCATCCCTGGCCCAGGGCGTGCAGGAGGCAACCATCGATGTGTCTCTCTCACATCGCTCGCTCTCTCCCTCTCTCTAAAAACCAAAGGGAACTACCCTTCGGTGAGGATCCACAGCAAACACCCCACACCCTGGACTCTGCTTCAGGAACGTGTCCCTTAGACCGCGAGGAGGCGGCGGGCAGGCAGGGCAGGTGCGACTCACTTCTTCTCCCGCAGCTGCCGGAGGCGGTGGAAGACGTTCATGACATCCCGGATCCGCCGCGGAGCCTCCTCGATCTTGGAGGCCAGGTGCACGCAGGCCATCGACACGTGCTGAATGGCAACAGCAGGTGTTTGCGCCAGAGCCCGGCCTCCAGCAGCTCCGGGGCGAGGACAGCCCAGAGCGGGCGCCCCAGGAAGAGGCCCCGGGGGCGGGGCGAGGGGCTTCCCGACCCCCCAGGGCGGCGCTGCCCCGTTCCCAGGAGCCACCCGGCAGGAACCCACCCTGGTCCCCCCACACGGTTCAGGGGAACCCGGGCGGAACCCCTACCTCCATGGAATGCTTCACACAAGGACTTTGGTGTAGGAAGGAAGCGCTGGAACAGCACCTGCCCCCGTTCGCCATGGCCACCTGGAAAACACAAGAGGGTGCCGCCGCTGAAAACGCGCCACGATCCGAGATCCGCAGGGCCCGGGGGCGGGGCGGAGCAGAAAAAACACACGTTCAACACGTCCACGGGCCTGCGCGTCGGGCTGCCTTCGCCTCCCCTCAGCGCCTGCGACGAGCCGGTGGCGGTGGCGATGGCGCTGGGCCCCGGCCCCGGGGCGGGCGACAGGGACCAGGGTCCGGGGGTCGGGCACGGGCCCGGCCCCTCCGCCAACAAAGGGCCCGGCCGCCTCCCCGCGCCGGCGCGGCGGTTACCTCGGGCCAGGCTCGCGGCGGGCGCCTCACCTGCGGCAGGCGGAGCAGGATGCCGGCCGCCTGGATGAGCTCGCAGCCCACGACGCGGAGGTCGGTCTCCGTGCCGGTGTCGAGCCCACTCGACATGGATGGCGTGAAGCGGAGCTTGTCGTCGGGCAGGAGACAATTCTCCAAGGTGATGAGCACCCCGGAGTACAGCCGGTCCCCGATCAGCACGCCCTGCGACCCGGGGCCTGGGCCCCCCGAGCCCGGGGTCCCGGCCGCCGCTGCTGCAGGGGCCGCTGGACCCTGAGCCCCGGCCACGGCCGTCGCAGCCGCTGCCGCCGCCGCCATTTTGTGCCGCCGACTC